GGTCCATGGTGGAGCGCTGTCAACGAAACCCACACTAGGTGGGCGAGAGAAGCATGTTCGATTCCAGGAACCAAACAAGACAAACATTAACCATCCTCTCTAGGACTTTACAAAGACAACTAGTCAAAGCGATGGGACGATAATTAGAAGGAATCTTGGGATCTTTCCAGGTTTAGAGAAAGGGAGGACAATAGCCTGGCACCAAGCATCAGGAAAAATATGCTCCTGCCAGATCTGGTTAAAAATAACCAGAAGAATAGCAAGAGAGGCAGGAGAGAGATGGCACAACATCTCATAATGAACATCATCAGGTCTGACCAATGTGCTACCAGACCGATGAAGAGCAAGTTTGAGTTCTACCAGCGTAAAGGGGTAATTATAATCATAGAGATGATCGGCCCGAAAGGAAAGAGGCGATCACTCTGACCAAGAAGGCAGGGGAAAAAACAGAAGTGCTAGAAGCACGAGAAAAGCTTTGGCCGAGAGCATCAGCAACTTCCTGGCCATTGGAGAGCAAGATGGAAAGGGGATGGGAAGCATACCTCTCAGTGACTTTCCAAATCTTGTCCCATTCAGTTTTGGAACTGGTGGTAGAAGAGATGCTAGTAAACTTAATCCAAGACACCTTTTGGCTTTGACGTCGAACCTGCCGAGCATGGGCACAGGCCCGCTGATAAACAATGCGGTTAGAAAGAGAGGGATACCGTCGGAAGATATCCCAGGCCCGTTTTTGAGCCTTCCATGCCTCCTGGCAGGCAGGACTCCACCATAGACGAGGATACCGTGGAAAACGTGTCAAGGTCTTAGGAATAAAATGAGCAGCCGTCTGGACAATACAGTCAGTCACTGCAACCACACAGTCGTCTATTGATGGCAGACAGGCGAAGGCAGGATCAAGTTCAGAGAGAGAGGTGAAAGATGACCAGTCAGCCTGGTCCAGCTTCCACCATGGCACTCAGGACGGGTGGCATCGACCATGGCCAACCTCCCTCATAATGATAGGAAAATGATTACTGACTCATGGAACACTGTCGACCACCCAAGAAAAGCGAGTGAAAAGTGAAGGGAAGCAAATCAAGAGATCAATGGCAGTAAAAGACTGACTAGATGCATGAAAATAAGTATATGTTCTAGTATTGAAGAGAGAAAGGTTGTGATCCGAGAGCAAATGCTCTATGGAACAACCCCTCCCATCAATATCAGGACCACCCCAGAGTGAGTTGTGTCTATTAAAGTCTCCCAGAAGTAAAAAGGGAGGTGGCAACTGGTCAACGAGAGCATCAAGGTCCGATTAATCATAAGTCTCCCCAGGAGACAGGTAGAGAGAA